TTGCAAGTGCATACATTCCATGGCAATTTCTTTGTCCGTTCTACAGATTTACTCTCTTTACCCAATGTTAATCCTGACGCTGGGTATGGCATGCAAGTAAGTATATAAATTTAAATAACAATTTAACATTTATAAAAAATCTGCTAATTAATTTGTCTCTATAGATTTCTTATGAAGAAACTTTGAACGATGTCAAAACTGTTTGCTTTCAAGCTGCGTTATTGTATACTAATAGTGAAGGTGAGCGGCGTATACGAGTGCATACTATTTGTTTGCCAGTGACTGGTTCATTACCGGAAATTATGCATGCTGCGGATACAGAAGCAATTATAAGTTTACTTGCTAAAATGGCAGTTGATCGTTCAATTACATCAAATCTATCTGATGCAAGAGACGCATTTATAAACGCCACTGTAGATATATTAAATGCATTTAAAATAGCACAAAACTTACCAGCCGGGCAAACAGGCCAACTAATTGTACCAAGAAGCTTGGCATTGTTACCAATGTACATTTTGGCATTGCTCAAACATGTAAGTTATATAAATTAGTTATATATAAATATAAACAATAAGGTATACTTATATATTTTTTTTGTACCATTTTAGCCGGCATTCCGTATAGGCACAAGTACTAGACTTGATGATCGGGTTCATGCAATGGATTGTATGAAAACGTTGCCATTGGATCAGTTAATGAAATATATATATCCACAATTCTATCACTTAGATGTGCTATTCTATAATGTGCAAAATTCTAATGATGACGATGAAGAAGAAGAATTACCCAATGTTCCGCGCTTACAGTTATCCGCAGAATTGTAAGTTTAAGTTATAGTGAAATTAATTTTTACTTATAATAATTATTATTTTGTTTTTTCTAAAGTTTGGATTCGAGGTCAATGTTTCTATTGGATTGTGGTTTATTAATTATTTTATATATTGGACTGAATGTACCGTCGAAGATACTGGAAAACACTTTAGGTTGGTATCATAATATTAACAATATAATCTATTTTTATTAGAACTTTTCTCTTAAAACGAACCCATTCAATGGTACACTTATAGGAAAGGTTTCTATATTTTTATAACAAAACTTTTTTATTAGTCGTTTAAAATGAACTACAAATTGACTATAAACAAAATTTTTTTTTTGTCTATGGCAACACTATTTGTAAATGTGAAGTCCCATTGGGGGATGTTGAGCGATTCTTGGTCGTCGTTGATGACGAGTGACTCCGGGACGTAGACCCGATCGTTCGTGGAGCCATTTGTAAATCGAAACTTTTTCTGTTCCAAATCGGGATTTTTTTTCATATATTATATATCTATTTATAAACAATGAATAGTTGATTCAAAGGTACAAAAAAGTGGAAAAATTGTGTCTACCTAAAATAGATATATTGCCATAGTACAAAAAATTACTCATAGGTTTAAAGACTTGTCAAGTTGATTTACTTCCACTTAAAGTTGGAGGCAAGTTCCTGTTGTTGTTGTAATCCGCTAGGATTTGCTTGTAAAATTCCTTTGGGGGATAGTAAACATCACTTAATCGTAGAGATTGTGCCTTTCAGCCTTGTCCTTTTGGGAACTTTTCTAATCTACACATGAACAAAGCTGGTCTGTATTATAACAACTGGTTATTATATGAGCTCAAATGGGCTTTGGCGCACTTGGCTGCAGTTACAACTTTCTCTTACTTAAAAACTATTGTTTTTTTAAAATAATTTTTGTATTATAAACTTTTCTACTGAATATATTATATATATTTTTGTTTCTTTTTATTATGATTTTAGGTATTAAATCGACTGCTGAATTGCCTGACTATGTATATGGTTTACCAAATGTTAATAGCAGCGAAAACGAATCTTTAAAACAGTTTATTTTAAAGTTGAATGATGAAAAACCTTATCAGCCAGTTGTACAGATAATTAGGTATGTTGCATAGATGTACTTCATCTTTATATCATCTTTAATTTTAAAGCATTATTTATATATGTTGTTGCTGTTGGTGCAAACAACATAACTAAATTTACTTATAAAAATTGATTTGGAATAACTGTTATAAAAAAATTTAATTTGATGTTCTTTTTTAACTAGGGATACGAGTACTGCTAAACCTCAATTTATTGAAAAATTAGTCGATGATCGAAGTGAATCTAGTTTATCATATTACGAATTTTTGCAACATATAAGGACTCAAGTTAAATAGTATCATATAAGTAAAAAATAAATTAATAACTATTTCGAGTAGGTGAGTATACCAACTCTGATTAGAAACTAATCAGTTCAATAAGAATATAGTTAAATGCGTAGTCAAAGAAATAATTCTACATAAAATCTATACTGGAATTTAAAAAACAAAATCCAAGTTAATATAATCAATTTTACATATATGTTAGATATAAATAGCATAGATTCAGTGCTTTTTTAAACACTATGTTAAAGATAATTATATCTATGTATGGATACTTTGCAGCATCTGTAATTGTATAATAATGCAAAAATATAAAAATAATGCAAAAAACAAAAAAAAAACAAAAACAAATCATAACGAAGAATTGTAATTTAAATTCTATTTTATATCTCTATTGTTATTTCCTGTATTTTTAAGTAGTTCTTGTCTTTTAAGCGATTTGCTTTTAATTCTCTATGTGATTGTTATTTTTTTCATCTCTGTGAAAATAATTTTGCAATAAATATATTTTTGTTAAATTAAAATATAATAAAAAATGCTTTAAAATTCTCAAAATCTTTACTGAAAATTTTAGCGATTTATTTTGTTTTTATTTATCGTATAATGAAGATAATATATATATTGTAATGAAAAAAAAAAAACTAAAATTATATAAAGTAGTTAAAATTCAAAAACAATTAATAAGTAAAATTGTTACATTTTATTTCTAGTATAGGCAGATGTGTGGTTATTTTTAATAATTTACGTTTATAGTACATTTTGCAAAATAACTTCAGTGCTGTTATTCAATTTTATTTTGATTAGTTTATATATGAATATATGAATAAGAGTAATATATGTGGTAAAATTTATGGTATGGAATATCAAGTTTAAAATAATAAAACATATATGATATAATAATATATCTAATATACCGTTTTAATTCTGATTATATGTATATAAATTTATGCACATAACCTCCTGTTGTGTGTTATATGTGAAAGTAAAATTTTTAGTCTGAACATAAAAATTTTCAATTTTAAGTATAATAGTTATTTAATATGCAATAATTTTTAATAAGCATATTATGTATAATTTCAATTTGAGATACTATATATATCTTAATACATTTTAAAGTATATTATTGTGGATAAAATCTAAATTTTACTAAATTAATGAATAATATTTATGCATATATGAATAAAAATAAAATATTAAATATAAAACTCTTGTTAAATTGATTAATTTATTATATAAAGAGGTTTTTCGAACAGTAGTGAACTACAACAACAAAAATTTATTTTTTATATTATTTTAATTAATTAAATTTTTGGGTGACCATATAGCTGTTTCGAGTATTGCCAAATACACATTATCAGTGGTCTTGGAAATAATTTTTGTATTTAATTATTCGTAAATAATTATTTTTGAGACTGCAAGTACCAGGAATGGAACTCGGGTCATGCCAAATGTGAAGCTTGTAACGACACGGATTCGTCGTTTTAATTCTGCTGAGGTATTACTCAGTCGTGGTCCGGGTCGTTGCAATAAATTTGTTTTATTGACTAGTTCGAAGCTGGTAAACCAATGAGTGGAAAGTAAAAGACCGTTTGTTTTTATTATTTTAAAATTTTATTTATTAAAAAAAAAGATTATTTTAAATAACTTATTCTAGTCTTGATTCTACTCAGTAAGTTTTATCCAAAGACGTCAGAACATCAAAGGGTTTTTTCCAAATCTACGTAATTAGTTTCTAGCCAAAGACGTCAAAACATCAAAGGCGTTTATAAAGTCTATTCAATAATTTTTACCCAAAGACGTCAGAACATCAAAGGGTTTTTTCCAAATCTACGTAATTAGTTTCTAGCCAAAGACGTCAAAACATCAAAGGCGTTTATAAAATCTATCCAATACCTTCTACTGATTTATTAAGCCTTAGCGTCGAAACACCATGGGCTTCTAAAAAAAAGACTTAGCGCTGGAGTAGTGATCTACTCACTTCGGTGTGCCGGTGCTGTCTTTTTTTTAGAAGCCCATGGTGTTTCGACGCTAAGGCTTTGGAAAAAACCCTTTGATGTTCTGACGTCTTTGGGCAAAAATTATTGAATAGACTTTATAAACGCCTTTGATGTTTTGACGTCTTTGGCTAGAAACTAATTACGTAGATTTGGAAAAACCCTTTGATGTTCTGACGTCTTTGGATAAAACTTACTGAGTAGAATCAAGACTAGAATAAGTTATATAAGAAAACTTTAAATAAAAATTTTAAAATAATAAAAACAAACGGTCTTTTACTTTCCACTCATTGGTTTACCAGCTTCGAACTAGTCAATAAAACAAATTTATTGCAACGACCCGGACCGCGACTGAGTAATACCTCAGCAGAATTAAAACGACGAATCCGTGTCGTTACAAGCTCAGAATCAGCGCATTTAATTTATTATAGAATTTTTTTTTCTGTCTATAAAAGGAATTCTAATCTGTATAGAAAAGGAGGTAATAGTAATTTCACTTTAATCTATTTAATCTTTTGGGCTGATTATACATTTCTTTCGAATACAGTCAAATATCTGTCACCAGTAGTCTTTGGAAACACTTATTGATTTAATTTCTTTATATTGTGAATATAATTTTTCCAATTGTGAATATAATTTTTATATAATTTGTCCAATTATACGTAGAATAATTTATATGAGATAAATATTGTAATAGCATACCTATATGGAGAGAAAGAATCCAGCATTATAATTGATGATCTAAAGAACAGCAGAGGACAATGTGTTAATGGTCGAAAGTAGTTCAATAGCTTTCATTATTTTTAATATTATAGATTTGGGCCAAACAATATAATTTCAGAGACAGAAAATTTAAAATTTATAAATTATATAATATAATATAACTTCAACTGTAATGTAACTTCTTTGGGAAATCATAGAAATAGAGAATTTTGACAAGTAAGGAATAAGATATAAGTAGAGTTTAAACTTGAAGTATAGATGCATAGAAAAAGTATGATGTTTTGCGAAGTATATTTTTTTTTTTTTGACAGTATGTGGAAGCATCGAAATCCACCGTGTGAGACTTCAACCCACTAAACCACCTCTTAGGAATGAATGGAGAAGATTTCCACAGCATTGTGAAAACTTCATTCCAGTAATCAGGAGAGAGAGGAGAAAAAATAGACTTAGTACCTAGCGAGCTAGATTTATCTAAGCCAGAGCGTACATTAGGGAAATTGGGTTATGAAGAAGCGGGCGAGGTTAGAGCAGATGAGCGGGAACGAGGTTAGCGGTAAACTTGGTGACGGGTCACGAAAGCCGCGGTTATATAGGGGAATGGAGTGGAGGTTACGGTCCCCCTCATCGAGGTAGTGGGACAGGTATTGGGGAGGTTTAAAGCGCAAGGCTAGAACAAGATCTTCAGGAAGGGTTATAGGAATAGAAACGTCAGGGGGGAGGTCGTGGAGCCGGGTGAGGTAACTACGAGCGAGTGTTAATAGAGTGAAGTAAATAGAGTGAATAGGCATTTATTGGGAACTAACATGCTTATGCGTAACAAGTAACTTTAGTATTTGGCTATACTTTAACCACAATTGGGCAAGAACAGCATGAGGAATGAGGAATGCAGCTCTTTTGCATGTGTACTCGACTGTTAAAGCTTCTGCACCATACAGCAAAACAGGTACGATAAGAGACTTTCGTTTGTCGAGAGAGGGTTTTATTTCTCAATTCCCTACTTAGTCAGAAGTGACATCTGTTGGCAAGAGTGATATCGCGTTGAATTTCGAGGTTGACATATATTTTTGGTGTTTACGCTGGTTCCCAAATAAATAAAGTCTTTCACAACTTCGAACTTATAATTGTCAACAGTGACTTGACTCCTAAGACGCTTAGGAAATTTATTTGTTGGCAGGAAGTACTCTGGTTTGTTCTCATTTGCCACAAGACTCAATACGTGCTTGTGAGAATATGTGGAATAAGTAACAGTTGTCTTCGATTCTAAATATTGATGTTCGCAATAGCGCGTAACTTATAAACCAAAACCCCCTTAAACCTAAAGTGGAATTCGTGTCTGTATTCTGCTCTCGATCACTTGAAGTCACCTTTTGTTTATCCGTAAGACCATTCTCAATAGTCTCACTGATTGAATAACTATTTATCTTACAAATAATATAAACACAAATGATTCTGTAACATATTGAATTAATAATTTAATATACAATATTTTATTTTTAACCTTGACACTTATAAATTTCTCTATTTACATAAATAAATTATCACACACACATATTCTATAAGCGCACAAGCATTCACCAACTAACATTTTTACGGAAAATTACATCACTTAATTATATTTATAGGCAATTACACGTGAAGTCGCTACTGCAGTGACCTGAGTTATGACCCATATTTTTACAGTAGAGTATGCAGTTTAGATGAGTTCCAATTTCATCACAGAACACAAATATGGGCTTGGATTTTCCTTGCACTTTGGAATTGTCCTCGAAAATGGTTTGATAACCTGAAAAAGAATAACAGCTCCCTCAAAATGTGTTCTAATCATACGATCGGAATAGACTCACCCAATATTGGCGTTGCAGAGCACAGCTCCATGTACATGTAACAAACTAGAAGCAGGAGAAGTGCAGTCTTCTGGGAAACCATTTCTATTCACGGTTTTTTTTTATTTGTTGTTACAAAAATATTCTGATTTATCTCGTTTAATGGTGATGAGATGTGATGTGATGCTGCCACTTTCGCCAACGGAACCGTATGCGCGAATAAGTCTGTTTGAGCGAAGAAAACTTGATCTGTGCTATTAAGACCGTTCTTGGTGCTCGTGTTTGAGTCTTGTTGTTGTTGTTGTTGTTGCTTTGACTTATCGTTATTTGCTGCTCGCTGTTTGAATATAAATTTGTATGTGAATTGAATTTAAATTGAAAATTAAAATTTATTTGTTGTTTAACTGTAGAATAATTTTTAAATGATTGGCAAACCATCAACATAAAAATGAGCCATTATCAATATTCCTCTACGTTTTTGGTTTCCAATTTTGAAAATGAAATCATTTAAAATTGTTTTGTGCCCAATGTGTTTGTTTTCGAAACTGATAAGGAAATCAACCATTCAAACCAGTACAACATTTTATTTTTGCTAATCAATGAGTAATAATCATATTTTATTAAAATAATTAAAATCTATTTTTAATATGCTGCATCATTTACCATAGACTACGCACTCTTAAGTTTGGATTTAGTTTGCTTGAAGATTAATTGATTAGGGGTCTGCTCTCGAATTCTTTAAAATAAAATTAGTTCTTCCTTATACAATTTCAAGAAAATAAATTTGGATTATAAGCCAGTCAATTGTGTTAAAAACTACATTAGCAAATTAAGATAAATTTGTATTAAAAACCGCTTTAGCAACTTACATATGCTTAAGGTCTAGAAGATTGAAAGATGTTAAGGAATCATATGAAACACTATCGTTTTCTATTCCAAAAGTTCAAATGAAGACTTTCGTTTGAAATTTTCTAATAAAACGCGAAGTTACCTTAGTTGATCTGAATGTTGAAAGTTATTATTCCCAAGATCGCTTTGAACAATCCATATATACCGGGTTGTTTTGACCGGGTTTTAATTTTGCGAAAATTCGCCAAAGTTCTCACAAACTCTAAGTCAAAAATCTAAGATGGAGTTTTACATTTTATGGAACTGCCACTATGTCCGGTTGAGCGGCCATAAAAACATATTAAAAGTGGCTTTGGATTGCTTAGTAAAAATAGTTAAAAAAAACGTTACTGAATACATAGAAATTAAAAGAGCGACTTAATATAGCCTATGCTGCTTCAGGGTATAATACTTAATTCTAACAAACACTTGGAGTAATAAACAGTCATTTTAAAATTTGATACTTTGAACTTCAAAGAACTGTTATCATTTTACTCATATCAACTACCTACGTTTGAAAGTCGGGTTCCTTTTTTGAAAGAACACAATTAAAGAACTACTAAAATATTTCGTCTTGTGTGTTAATCTGTAAGTGCCCACCATCTTATCTACATTTTCGTGTTAAAAATCATCAATAACATATAAACAATATATTATGTTTTATCGCTACCCTATTATTACTGCATATCATCAATGAAGATAACTACATATCATATCGGTTTATAATGTTTCCTTATAACGCGTCTTAAGAAGAAGGGCATGACAGGAATAAACGTACAAAATCATTTAAGTGGAGTGTTTAATTCAAACATTGAATATATATTTTCGACTTATTCTTTATTAGGAAATATTTTTCTTGAATATTAACTTATTCTAATCTATAAATGTATCTTATTTTAGGAGTGCAAACCTCCCTATTACATTGTAGACTAATTTATGTGTTTGCGATAATACACTATAGTAAAATTCAAAGCATACGCATATTGTTTTCTTTATTTAGGACGCTAAACATTCCTACTACATTTTAGAATTGTTTACTTCTTGCGATAATATTAAAATATATCATATCATGCCTACGTACACCCGAGACCACACAAG